CAGGGAGTGCAGTGGAGGATGGCCCAGGTGCTTGGGCCCTGCACCCCATGGGAGACCAGGAAAAGCACCTGGCTCCTGGCTCCTGCCATCGGATCAGCGCGGTGCGCCGGCCGCAGCGCACCGGCCACGGTGGCCATTGGAGGGTGAACCAATGGCAAAGGAAGACCTTTCTCTCTGTCTCTCTCTCTCACTATCCACTCTGCCTGTCAAAAAAAAAAAAAAAATTAAAAAAAAACACACACACATACATACTTTCTGAATTTCATTATTATTGCTACAGAACTGCTTGTGAAAAAATATAAATTAGGTACTAAGTATAAGATATACCCTGGATCCTTTGTGTTGTTAGGAGATGGAGGTGCCTATCATATCACAATATTTTTGATAGTGTGTTTATTAAACTTAAATGATGCTTTATAAACAAAATAGGTCTTCAGGGGAAGTAAGGGGAAGATATTGTGACTGTTCAGTTTTTATAATATAAACTATTGAAAAAAAAGACTATATCTTGGATGATGGGTCTAAATAGCAAATAAAGTTATCTGACGCTTAGAGGTGAATATAATAGACTTTAATGTACATGTTGAGCAAAAAAAAACATGCATGTGTCAGGATTCTAGAAGTATGGCCTGAAATGCTTTCTGAAAATGACGACCTCCTGGCACTTTAAGAAATCTGTCAAGGGCCCTAAAATTATACGGTTCTATTTTAGCAAATAATTCAGAGTGAATTATCAGGACTGACACAGATTTATGTATAGAAATATCTCTCTGATTTGTTTGTGATTGCAGAAGTTTGAGAGAAAAAGCTATGCCCACAAAAATAAATAAATTATATATCCAAGGGAATTTCAAAAAGATTGTGGAAATTGGAATTAAAAGATGTTTATTTTGGTGTAAAAATATTGAAATCCTTACATATGTGAGGTTTTCAGAAAGTTCATGGAAAAATAAGTATCCAAACCAAAGTCATGATGGTGGTTGCTTCTGGGGCAGAAGGGAGGGGTGGGGGCAGGGTAGAAAATAGTATGGAACTTCGTCTTTAAAATTTTCTGTGTTTCTTATTTTTAAAAATCAGAAAAAAAGACACAGTTCTTACATTGTGAGTTTAGAATGCTGATACCTTGTTATTTATTATATTTAACTCATTTTTATGCATCCTTTGAAAACTTTCTAAAAACAAATTATTTAAAAGAAAATATACCAGTGTTTGCAGTGGTTATTATTCAGCAGTGAGATTACAATTCAATTATTTTTATCTTCACACTTCTGTTTTCCAAATTCACAAAATGAATGTTGAGGAAAACAGTGCCAACTTATAGATAAATCACAACGGTGTAGTTAATGGACCTCTGCTCTGTGCACAGTTCCTAAGGCCCTTACAACTGAGCTGCCGCTGAAAAGATGAAGTGCTATCAGCAAAGAGGGATGACTCTGTCTCTCATCTCACCTCCAAGTCCCGGACAAAGAAAATAGAGCACTGGTTGCCCATGAAATGTTAAGATGTAAAACTAACCCTGTCTTGAAAAGGGAGACTGGAGCATTAGAGGCTCAAACTTGAGTCAGTTACCTAAAGGACTTGTTTAAAACACACACACACACACACACACACACACACACACACATTGCCTCCTTAGTTTCTGATGCAATTAAGTTTGAGGTTGAGCCTGTAAATTTGCATTTTCTCCAAGTTCCCAAATATTCCTAGCAATAATGATGCTTGTCCCAGGACCATGTTTGAGACCCACTGGGTTAAGCAAAACCCAGCCGTCAGATATTTGTATTTTTGATTACTGAAATGTGAGGGAGACATATGGCAGGAATCAATCTAATGTTGCCTAGCAGATCCTCAAATTACTTACTGGAAAGAGCCAGCCACATGGAGAATGGAGCCACATTCAAGAGCAAGCAAACCAAAAAAAAAAAAAAAAAAAAGGCAAGAAGGGGGTAAGCATGAAATGGTCAAAAGCAGAGAAAATAGAAGTGGGCCTAGTCTAATGATCAGAGACCAGTGAAGAGATTTCTTTGGAATAGCAACATAGTAATGGAAGCATACAAAGGTAATGTAAGAAAAGAGGTTCAGTCATCAGGATCTGTTGCTCTTTGGCAAAACTGGAAGTCCAGGATGGCAGAAAATTCATAACTCTTGCACAATCACTAGGAATTCCACTAAGCCAGGAACTCCTCGAGAAAAAGAACTAATCCTTCCTTTCTTCCTCTTTCATTTCTTTTTTTTTTTTTTTTTTTTTTTTTGACAGGCAGAGTGGACAGTGAGAGAGAGAGACAGAGAGAGAAAGGTCTTCCTTTTGCCGTTGGTTCACCCTCCAATGGCCGCCACTGCAGCCGGCGCACCACGCTGATCCGATGGCAGGAGCCAGGATCCAGGTGCTTTTCCTGGTCTCCCATGGGGTGCAGGGCCCAAGCACCTGGGCCATCCTCCACTGCACTCCCTGGCCATAGCAGAGAGCTGGCCTGGAAGAGGGGCAACCGGGACAGAATCCGGCGCCCCGACCGGGACTAGAACCCGGTGTGCCGGCGCCGCAAGGTTCTTCCTCTTTCATTTCTGTTCTTCCACATCAAAGAACTCATTAGTGCCAAACATTATACTGGACTTTGACAAAATGATATCTTTCTGTCTTAGATTATTTGGACTGCCAAAACAAAATACCACAAACTAGATGGCTCATGAAAACAAAGATGTGTCTCCCAATTTCAAGGCTGAGAAGTCAAGTCAAGGCACCAGCAGATCTAGTGTCTAGTTAGGGCTCACTTTCTGGTTCATAGATAGCCATCTCATCACTACAACCCCACCTAGAGGAAGAGAACACTAGTCCCACTCAGGAGCCTCTACCTCTCCCAAGGCCACACTGCCTAACGCCATCCTCTGGGGGGTTAGGATTTCAGTCCATGAACGGGGCAGGGAACACAGCATTCAGACCACAGCACTTACTATCTTTGTACTCCTAGCACTTAGCACAGTACCCAGAACATAGTGGAGCCCTTAAGTAGCCATTGAATGACACATAGGTAAACACACACGCAAACAGCAGGAGTCACAATCAACAGCACATGAAAGGAAAATAGAAATAACAGGTTATGCCTGCAAGTGAGTTATTTCTGTAAGAAGCAGAAAACGTGGTGGAGTGGGCCCAATGATGCAAATTATCAGCTGGAGACCCACTGAGACTCTTACTACTTGATACCTTTCTTTATATCCCAAATTTTACCCAATAAATTTCTGCTACTTTTCCCACTGGCTGGCAGTGTTTGTCCTACCTTCCCCACACTTCCTGGTCTTCCAGTAAAATGAGTATGTGCTTCTGTACAATACTCTTAACCTTTCTCAAGGGCCAAGGTTATGACTAAGCTTTATGTATGAATCCATGATGGCTTTTCCTTTAAGGCAGTTCCCTGCTTTACTACTGAGGAGATCCAAAAAAAGGTTTCAGATCAACTTAAATTTGTAGTCTTTTAGGATCATAGCTTAAATAGTTACATGTCTGTTTATACCAGTTAATCTGCTAATCCATTAAGTTATAAGTGCATATTTAAAGCACATTGTCTAAAATAATGTTAACTTTTTTATTGAATTTTATGAAACTTCTACTAATTCCATATGAATCATAAGCCATTTAACAAAGTTTTCCAGAGCTTTCTTTTAAGTCATTTGGGAAACTTGTATGCATTTCTTTTCATTTGTAGATGATGCTCTCATTAGAAATTTTCATCACAAACCACAAGTCTCACTCAGAAAACACTAAGATAATTTTTTTTCATTTAATCTATAGTGCAGTTTTATGAGTCCAACAATGTGACTACATGCTAGATATTAAATTGTTCAGAAAAGGCTTGTTTATAACAAAAAATAATACCAGCAATAGTAACATCACATTCTCCACAGTGTTCAGTAGTAAATCTTTCAAAAATTTTACTCTTGCCAGCGCCACGGCTCACTATGCTAATCCTCCGCCTTGCAGCGCCGGCACACCGGGTTCTAGTCCTCGTCGGGGTGCCGGATTCTATCCCGGTTGCCCCTCTTCCAGGCCAGCTCTCTGCTGTGGCCAGGGAGTGCAGTGGAGGATGGCCCAAGTCCTTGGGCCCTGCACCCATGGGAGACCAGGATAAACACCTGGCTCCTGCCATCGGATCAGCGCAGTACGCTGGCCGCGGCAGCCATTGGAGGGTGAACCAATGGCAAAGGAAGACCTTTCTCTCTGTCTCTCTCTCTCACTATCCACTCTGCCCGTAAAAAAAAAAAAAAAAAAAAAAAAAAAAAAAAAACCCTTTTTTACTCTTGTCTTTTTTTAATCAGTTCCATCAAGAGGACCTCTGTAAGTCTTCCATGTTAGCCTTGATTACTGCTGCTTCAAGCTGGTGTAACTTCCCTAGATAGCAATTCCTGACTTAATAAAGAAATTCAGACAATACCCTATAAGATTAGTGACTATAACAGCAACTCCTATTCTTAATGTTCAATAACTTTGAGGAAAAGCCTTTTTTATTTGGAAATATACTGTAAGTTTATTTCCTTTTGACTCTTACTAAAAACAACAAAACACCAAAGAGCCCCTTTCTTCTGTCGGCCAAAATAATGACTAGAAAAGAAAACTGACTCACTGGGGGATGTAGTATTAAGAAGCCATCAAAAAGAGTGAATGGGTGTACATACAACTTTGCTGTTTATGGGTCATAAGAGGTAATAGACATTTTATTTCAAGTTTGAATGAGGTTGTCTGTGTGTGTGTGTGTGTGTGTGTAATGCTATAATTACAGGTCTCTAGTAATTACAAAGTTTTACATAGAAAAGAGTAAATAAATAGGCTTAACTGGAGTAAATGAAACAAGTGGGAAATAGAAAACAGATTCTATTTGACGTGATTTTGATGGCAGGAAACACCAATTGGTTAGGTACACACTTTGCAGCTTATTGTGTTTTAAAGTTGTACAGCTTCTCAATTTTATAGCATTAATGTACAGTGTATATATTTACATATGTTTCAGGCTACATTATTGGGATTTTGAAGTCATGAAAACATCAGATGAACCAACCTGCAACACCTTGGATTCAGATTGGAAGATAAAGAGAAAGTTTAAAGAATGTGGCCTATAAAAGCCGGTAGTACCTGGAAATATTAACCGACTCACACTGTAAAAATGAGACAGGTTTCCAAACAATAGAATTTATTTTAGTGCAACATCAAGGTTCAAGACAAAATGTACAACTAAGAACTTTACACTCCTCCCTCCCCAACTTCAGACAGGTACCAGCCTTGGTGAATTATGATTTTCCTTAGTTGGAAACACTCATTTTTACCCATGTAGGCCATCCTTAGGAAGTAAATATTGGTTATTTAATGTAGATTATAATGGGAAACTGATTTTTCCCCGATGGCAGATTTCAAGGACTTGGTTCCAAACTGAGCCGAAGCCTCCCAATGCCTTTCATAGAGTCTGGGGGAAACTGTGCTGCATTGGCCCATTTTTGAAGGCCATCATGCTCTGTAACATAAGGATATCATCTTATTGCTGATATCTTTGGAGAGTCCCAAGCAGACACAGAAAATGAATGGAGGCAAAGAGTGTGACGGAGGGGACAAGGAAGGAGGTCTTCCAGCTATACAAGTTCCCGTGGGTTGGCAGCGTCGTGTGGATCAGAATGGAGTGCATTATGTCAGGTGAGCTCTTATTACCTGTGTTACTTCCAGAGTCTCAGTCCCAAGATTAAGGAAGCAGTGTCGGGTTGTTTTTGAGAGAACAAAATATTGTGACTGACAGCACCTGGAATAAATTTGAATAAATGACCTCTGTGCTAGAACTATGAGTACTCTTACTCTGTTCTATTTTTGCATTGTAAAGTACTTTAGATGAACAGAGAGAATTTTCATGTATTAATTGTGTGAACATAAGATGTGATTCTGCTTATCTCTGTAACAAGGAGACAGAAAACATGGAGATTTCTAAAAGACACAAGCGTCACTGCCATATTCACAGGGTAATAGACCTGTATCACTGCATAGTACTAACATCTCCTTCTCCGTGCTTCAACTAGCTTTCCTGAAATAAGATCATAATTTATCTATAGGCAGTTTCAACTATTAGACTTTCTAATGCCTGATATTGACTAAAATAATTTCCTAGTTTTTTCTGCACAGTTTTTAATGTATCCATTTCTATGTAATAGTAAAAATGAAAAAGCCATGATGGAGATGGTTATTTATCTTACAAGTAAAAAAAACTTACAAATAAAATGCAAATGCCTGCTCTTTTACATTTTGATGGTGTATAGCTCTTATAGAACAAGTTGAATGACATAACTATATTGTTGGCAAGAAGTTTGAGTCTTGTTTATTTAAAATATTGGCATATAAGTTTCTTACTTTGTACTTTTCCAGTATATATGTCACAAGTCAGTATCCCATCAATCTTTCTTTGCAATGTAATAAAAAACTTTTAGAAGTAGATAGACTGCAAACTTTTGAAAAGATATCACATTGCCATTAAATTGATGTTATTACTTTCAGTGTGGCCGTTCATATCTCAACTTCAATAGAATTCTTCAGTTCTGCAAAGACATATTTGTATGAATTAGGTTACATAAACCCAATTTCATGCCATAACAACTCAGAGAGTTCAGATTCTCTCCTGGTCTGCTTGGCTGGTTTTATGTAAGGTGTGTCATGAGGTAAATTTAGTTACCAACTGAAATTCTTTTGTCAAGTCTTATGTTTCTGCAGTATTAAAGAGGTGCTCTATTGTTAATTGAGAAGAAGGGATAAGAAAGCAGAGAATGTGACTCTCCAGATAACTTTCTCAAAGCAATCCTATTGCCAAAAGTGTTAACAAAGACAGAAATATTTTGTTATAGTAGAACAAGATACCAGTGTCATTTATTTGTATTAATAGTTGTTCAAATTGGTAAACAGCAAATGTATGTTCAACAATGAGCAATGATTCTAAAATCTTGATGCTTTTTTTACTTCATATCCATCCTATGAAAGATAAATCAGTTTTTTAGATTGCTGAGGGCAAAATCCAAATTAAATCTGGGAATCAAAAACCAAGTTAAGGTCTAAGAATCTGTCAGTTATCTTGTTCATGATTTTCCAGATCTGACTAGAATTCCCTAACTGATAACCCTGTTACCGTGAGTTCTCCAAATCCAAATCTGTGTACTAAAAATTGTTTTAGTAACTACCTCTCTCAGATAAGGTAAAACATTTACAAATTAAATTAAAAGCAGCACGGTTTGATTTGTTTATACATTAACTGGTTATATTACTACTTAAACATATATAGGAAGCTAGCCTTCCATCTGTAGCTCCTGTCTCAACATACAGTTTGATTGTAATTTTTAGGTTAATCTCCAGCTGCTCTTCCCTCCTGGTGGCATTGAGGCTACACACCTGCTTCCAGTCTTCTAAACTTGATGCATAAGACTTGTAAACTATTCTTTACATTAATTAATGCTCCCAAAAGTTAATTAAAGAGCTACAACTGAAGAGAAGACTCTACTGACTAAGAGGAGGCATTTTTGAGTAGAGTACTGTAATAGGATTACGAATTTTTTGTCTTTAGGTTTGAGTTGCAGTCAAATTCCTCTAAGGATTTATCATATACACTCTTAAGTAAAATGTTGTGCAGTTTCTGTTCACCAAATTCAAGAGTTCTTCATATGAAAAATTAGTAAGATAACTTTTGGTGACTATTGATTTGAATTACCAGACTTCTAGAAGCAACGTGTTGCCCCTCCATGCCGTGGTGAAACTCCAGTCTTAAACATGTCAATTATTATTTTTTGCAACAAAGAAAATGCCAAAGTAAATAATTTGGCCCAAATTGAGTATTTTCATTTAGATTTTTTACATGCATAAGTCATTTGTATGACTGCCCATAAACAAAATACAGTTCATTTATACATACAAAACTACTACTACCTGTGTTTTTGTAGAGGCAGAGTGGTCTATATCTAGTAGCTTAGTGCTTGGTATATGAAATGGAGAGTGCTGTTTCTGGATATATTCGACCAGAAGACTTAAGTGAAGGTTTTGGTAAATAATCTTAAATAAAACATAATCTCAAGTGAAAACTATATAATAATTTCAAAGCATAATATGCACTTAAGTTGTAAAAATAAAAATAGAAATCCTAAAATGCAAATTACTCATTTTAAACTAACTCCCACTGTATATAAAAACAAAAGAGTAACGGTGCCATCTCAACTAGTAACTCAGCTGTGGAATTGAAATTGACCAGTGTTCACATATCATACTGACTTTTATGATCTGAAGAGTGGTGACATCAAAACACCTACCCAAATACCAGCCCAAAGACATGTACATCACCTTTCTGCCTCCTAAAACCCTGTTTCCTCAAAAGTTCCCCATCTTAGGTCAGCTCTGCCTGATCCCTCTCTCCTTTGTACTATTTGGCTTTTCTGTATATTTTAAGTTAGACCACACTGATCAATCTTCAAAGGAACACAAGTGAGGAGGAGAAAAGAGACACTTGCTTTTACATAGGGACAACTTGGTTTTAGACTCCAAGATAAATAGGGAAATAATTGTTAGCACCAGCTTTTATAGACTTGCCAACTTTCTGAGTTGAACCCCAAAGTGTTCCTAAATTTCCATTTATCCCTAAAGAGCTTCAAAAGTAGATCTTTTGGTTTAAAATGACAGTGATTACTTTTATGTAGTTTTTCTTGTTCCCTGTTCTTATCTTGCCAAGCTTCTGTCCTTTCTTAAGAATAGCATTTTTCACATGTTTACTCCACCTTTGGTTTTCAAAATACTTTTGTTTAATTTTCTATGGATATCTGTAGTTTCCTGAGAAATACTTTGGTTCACAAGAAAGAGTGATAGTGTTAAAGGCTATAATTAAGTAGCTAACATAATATTGACAAAGAAAGCACTCTTCCCTAGTGGGAAAATATTATCCTGTGAAGGACAGTAAGACTATAAATTATGCCTTTTTCATATAATATGTGCAGTCAAAATTATTTCCTGATGTTTTTTTAAACTATTTTACAGTCCCAGTGGGTCTTTGTTATCTTGCTTGGAGCAGGTTAAAACATACCTGCTTACTGATGGAACATGCAAGTGTGGCTTGGAATGTCCTCTTATTCTTCCCAAGGTAACCATTTCACAATAGAGCTACAGCAGTTTTTTTTTTTTTAATTTTTAAGTATTTTATATATTGACTTCTCTCATTTAGCATTTCATTTTTATATTACTTCTCCAATTACATATGCATCGTATTCTTTATCTAATTAAAGCCTCTTTCATGTGCATTTTTGAATGCTTAAAGATGTGGAAAATAGTTAAATCCAAGAATCATTTTCAAAGGTGATAAACTTATATTCATATTGAATATTTCATTAAAACTACCATTGTACCTTTTTGTTAGAGCTGTACTCTGCTCAGCATTTAACAGAGCATATTTTCTTTTACTACTAGAACCACTCAAATTCTCAGTGTTAATTTAAGCACTGGTGTTGGTAAATCTGCCACAAATAATCCTAAAATCACAAACCTGAGCCCTCATAGAAAATCATTTAAAATTCTAAACTATTATTTGCTACAGAAATAGATCATTAGTCTCTGAATCGCTACCATAATGCTAATTGAAAAACTAAAGATTAATAGACATTATTTTCCTTTTTTATTTCTATGTCACTGCATTCTAAAAAAAAAGATTTATAAATAAGTAAGGCTTACTTTTAAATAGAGTACTAGATTTTTTCAAATCAGTGAAAAGGTAATATAAACATAGTTATAAAATGAAACTAAAGAAAAAGCATGTAGAAATGTTATTGCTTTTTGGTTGTTTTTTAACTGTACCTCATTTCTTTTTGTGCTGTTTTAACATCAGGAGGTATCTAAAATTGGGAACATTATCAGATAATATACCTCTCCATATATTTATATTGGCTATCTTAGAATTAGGATAATTTTCATTATGTAACTTTGCCACAAAAACCCTGAGTTCAGCAAAAGTATTTATTAAGTTAAATAAAGTTACATTTCATACATTTAAAAACTTGAAAAAGTTTTATTGAGATTTATGGCTTAATTGATGCACAACTTTTTTTCTTTTTAAACAAGAGAATCTTTTTGTTAAATGTTCTCATATTCTAAACAAAGGCTGTGCTTTTTCCAGGTGTTTAATTTTGATCCTGGAGCTGCTGTGAAACAGAGAACTGCTGAAGATGTTAAGGCAGATGAAGATGTCACAAAGCTATGCATACATAAAAGAAAAATCATTGCAGTGGCCACACTTCATAAAAGCATGGAAGCCCCACATCCTTCTCTGGTGCTCACCAGTCCCGGAGGAGGAACAAGTATGTAACATGGTGAAGGATTTAGGAATCCTCCTTCCCCACTCTGCTTTTCTAGGAATCGCTACCAATCACTTTGCCAAGCTTTTTCCCATTCCACTTTTCAAACATGCACATGCTTTAAAGGATCTGAATCTTCTATCATTTTACTACAAACAACAAATTAGCTCTGAAAAATTGTCATGAGGTTATTTCCCATCCAAATCATCTAGTTATCAGAATAAACACTAATTAGCACGTACAAGTGCTGTGAAGGTGTGTAGAGGTATGCTAACAAAAGAAAAAGTGTCATAGGTTTTTAGGAAACAAATGTAGTCTCTTTTCTAGGGCTGAAACAGAATGTGTGGTATCAGGTCCCCAAAGCCAACTTAGCAGTGTTCTCAGGAACTAGCAGTTCTTATTCTTTGAGCCATTTAATAGCTATTTATTCATTGAACACCTACTAGACAGAAATCTTGGTGGGAATTTTTTATTCTGTACCTCTCCCCAGAGCCACACATACACATGCACACACAAGTTTTCTTTTTTATAAAATTTTCAAAGCTGCAGAAAAATCACAAGAATACTTCACTGAGTATCTGTATACCCTTCACCTAGATTGGCCAATTAACATTTTGTTTCATAAGTTAGAGATATTTTGACAGTTCACCCCTAAATAATTTGGTACACATAGACATTCTCTTACATAATCACAACCTCACCACATTCAGGAAATTTGATACTGATACTATATTATTATCTTATATGCAGTCTATATTTCAGTCCCCGTGCCTGTCCTAGAATGTGTCCTCTAGCTTTTTTAAAATTCAGGCTTTTTTTTTTTAACTCTAGGATGCAATCAGAAGTTGTGCACCACATTTAGTTGTTTTTATATCAATTTCTCCATGTTTTTCTATCTTTCATGACATTGAAGTTTCTTTTAAAGAGCTCAAGCCAGCTTTGTAGGATGTTCCTAAATGTTGATCTGACTGATTTTCCCCCATCCTTATGCCTGGATTAAACACATTTTACACTGGTGTTGATGTGTCCTCTTCAGGAGCCACATGAAGTGATTTTATCACACTTGGATACATTGTTACTTGGATAAGGTCCTATCCATCTGAGTTTTCCAGTGTTAAGTTACCTTTTGTCCTTTATGATTGAAGTATACTATGTGGAAGTATATTTTGAGACAGAAGAACTCCTTTTTTGGAAGGGCTAGAAAATGAAAGCTCTCCAAAATACTACTTAATAAATATAAATTTGATACTTAAATAATAATCAGAATACAATAGGTCTAAGCACCTAAGCATTTGTGTAGGAGGACAACGATACTAATCTTCAGAACTCTGAAAAATAGGGATGATGAGTGTAACCTGCAACAAGCAGAGAAGCCTTTTGGCAGAAGGCAGATTTGGACCAGCCTTGGAAAACAACAAGATGCAGACATATGAGGAGAATAGGAAAATTCTCCACCGGAATTTATGTAGAATAATTAAGGATTATGTGGAAACCAATCTGACTTCAGTGGAAAATTAAACCTGTGGAGATAAATTAGGGCCAAATTGTTGAGAGCTGTGGATGGAAAGAAGAACAGCTCCCACATCATTCAGGTAACAGAGGTGATTGAAGATTCAAACTTAGAACTCCTGGGAGAATGGCAGGCAGAGACAGATTTGGAGTTGCCAACATAGAGCTCCTTTTCAATAACTCTTTAACCTTTAAACTTTAACAGGAATAATCTGAAAAATTTGCTCCACTAAGGTATGTAAAAAAAAAATCTAGGAAACTTTTTTTCTTCTAGTGAGCTATATTTTTTTCAGTTAAAATATATTGCAACAATTAAAAGGTACATTTCATAGTGATAAATTATTTTAAAATTACCATTATTCTACCACCTTGATAGAGCTATGCTTCCATTTTTCCATATTATCTTGCATCTGTGTCTCTATAAAATCTAATCTGCTGCTATTCTCATATAACATAACATCAAAGAGTTTCACTTGTATCTGCAAAATATGCCTTGTTGCTTTTTTTTCTTTAAAGAATTTATTTATTTATTTGAAAGGCAGAGTTAGAGAAAGAGAATGGAGATCTCAACATCTGCTGGTTCACCCCCAAATGGCCACAACAGCCATGGCTGAGTCAGGCCCAAGCCAGGAGCCTAGAACTCCAGCCCTGTCTCCCACACAGGTGCAGTGGCCCAAGCATTTGGACCATTTTCCACTGCTTCTCCAGGTACATTAGCAGGAGGCTGGCTCAGAAGTAAAGCAGCCAAGACTTGAACAGGTGCCCGTTTAGGATGCTATCACTGCAGATGGTGGATTATCCTGCTGATCCACAATGCTCGTCATCTCTTGTTGCCTTTCTAAAATCTCTAGAAGAATCTAGATCTAGGTCCTTTGCCCTGTGTATATATACAAGTTTAATTACAAAAATTAAATGTAAACATTTAACTAGTACAGGTAGTAATGCATATGTTTCCATCCCCTTTAAAATGATAGTTTATTGGGTTAATAATGATTCTTTTACTAGCTACACACATAGCATTTAATTCCATTTCCTAATTCTATGTTATAAAGTTGAGAATTGAATAGTTAAAATTCAGAAGCCTCACATAGTTTTCATGCCTCTTCCTTTAAATCTTAAACATTTTATTTCTGTGTGTGCTTTTGAAACATCTTCTTGAATATACACAAAAGCATAAATGTGTAGCATTTACACTTGCAAACTCGTGTATACTTAACTCCTAATGTAACATAACATCAGCCTGACTTTTGTTTGTTTATTCAGTAGTCTATTATTTTCATAAAGATGGCAACTGGTTTTCCTCAGGTATGGAAGTCCTTTCTAAACCATAGCTAGTGTCTAAATTGTTAGTTGAACATAAAAAATGCTAATGCCTTTTTTTAGATTTATTTTATTTATTTGAAAGGCACAGTTAAAGAGAGATGGAGGGAGGGAAGGAGGGGGAGAGAGAGAGACAAGAGAGAGAGAGCTCGATCTTCCATCGACTGGTTCACTCCCCAAATAGCCACAACAGCTGAGGCTGAGTAAGGCCAAATCCAGGAGCCAGGAGCTTCTTCTAGGTCTCCCACGTGGGTGCAGGGGCCCAAGGATTTGGACCACCCTGCACTGCTTTCCCAGGCACATTAGCAGGGAGCTGGATCAGAAGTAGAACAGCCAGGATTTGAACACCCATATGGGATGCCAGCGTCCCAGGCAGCAGCTTTACCACTACATCACAATGCTGTCCCCTTAATGTCTAATTTTTAATCACTGAGTTGTAGATAACCATATAAATACATTGATACCCAAGAAAAAAATGCAGGTAGATGGTTTTGTCACTAAAGAGCAAGTCAGTCCTATGAAAATTCCAGTGATGCTCATGGGTGTAACTATGCTCTCAGTATATGCCATACACAGTGCCCCGCATGTTTTTTTGTATATTACTTCTTTAAGTACAGTCCTCAAAAATCTCTCTTTAAAAAATAAGCTTCAGTTGAGTTTATCTGCTGTATTTTCTTACATCATGAGTTCTGAACTTTTCGTTTAGTATATCCAGAAATCACTCTGTCAAAGAACCTCTGCCATGCTAGAATTAGAGTCTGTATTTCCCACGAAAACATAATATTCACTGCATTCTCTTACTCCTGAATACTCCCTAGCTAGACTCCCGTGTACCCTATATTGAAAACGACCACCTTAGAAATTGTTATTATTTGACCTGTATACTGTCTAGCAGGTAGAAGTTTATCTTAAATGTGTAATTATTCATGTAAGTAAGCATACCTCTGATTGATTACAAATGAATCCTGTTAGAAGCACCTGGCTCCTGGCTTCCGATAAGCCCGGTGCGCCGGCCACAGCGCACCGGCCACAGCAGCGGCCATTGGGGGATGAACCAACGGAAAAGGAAGACCTTTCTCTGTCTCTTTCACTGTCCACTCTGCCTGTCAAAAAAAAAAAAAAAAAAGAATCCTATTGTATACTTGCGAATGTGTTATAAAATAGTTACACCAAGTATATAGTATGAATGGTGCAAATATATAGCGTGAATGGTGCTACTAACATCTCCCGGCTGTGATGGGCTCATTAGCATCTTCTCCTGGAGTCCATCTAGAGCTCAGCATCTTTTCCCTCACAGCTCTCTAAACAATCAATACCAATAGCTAGTACTTCTCATCTGAAGTGAATTTTATTTGCCATCTCTAGGAAGGCATAACTTTATAAAAGAGTTAAATATCTGTAGGGGTTTAAAAAAAACTGAAACCGAGAGTTTTGATATGATAGAATGAAAATTCTGTATGATGAGCCAGCTTGCTTTTGTTGCCTATATTCTGTCTGATCTCCAAAAGAACTGAAGGGATTCCATAAAACCAGACAGGACAAAATACACTCATGTAAAAAGAGAATACTCAATTGGAATCTAGTATTGAAGGTTTTACACTCTGACTAAATTTTACATGAGAATTCTGTCCTAATAAAAGAATTGCAGTCTTTTATCTAAGTTGGTTGACTAAGGTGGTTTTCACAATAATGACTAATTAGGAGAAAATAAATTACAGTGTTGCAGACATGATGTGAAGCTATGCATGATTGCATTATCACCACATTTGTTTCTGTTACCACTCCCACTATAAAAGTTTTGGAGTTCCATTAACTTAATTCACAAAAATTAAGTCTTACTGTCATAGTGAGAGCAAACTGAAGTGAAAATGTCGTAAGGAAAGATTACTTGTATTCGCCTGAGAAGATTTCAATGAGGTAACATTTATAGAGTTACAAAATGTGGAAATAGCAATTCATGTAAAGCATCCAAAAATATATTGTGCCACAGAGACTATGATTTTCTGTTGTAACAGTTCTTAAAATTCCCAAATCCAACAAGGTAGTAACATCACCATTTCCACCTGAGCTGTCAATCTTGATTTTTCATATTCTAAGTGCTATTAAATGGTTAACTCACTATGTCTTGATTTAGATGCTTATGCTCTCTCAACAGGTAAACAAGAAAAATGAGCAATTTCTAAGAACCTTTGTTCAACTAAGGGAGAATAATACTAATTAATATAGAATGCAAAATTTTAATAGCATAGAATCACAGCTTTTATTTTCAAATTTCTGTTTCAGATGTTCTTCCTCCCTCACTCTTCCTGATTTCCTTCTCCTTCTCTCCCCCAACACAAAAGAAGACTATTAACAGATTTTTGTTTTTTCTTTCACATCAGATGCAACTCCAGTAGTACCTTCACGGGCAGCAACTCCAAGATCAGTGAGAAATAAGTCTCACGAAGGGATTACAAATTCTGTAATGCCGGAATGTAAGAATCCTTTCAAGTTAATGATTGGATCATCGAATGCCATGGGAAGGTTATATGTACAAGAACTGCCTGGAAGCCAGCAACAAGAACTCCACCCTGTCTACCCCCGGCAGAGATTGGGCAGCAGTGAACACGGACAGAAATCTCCATTCCGTGGCAGCCATGGAGGCCTGCCCAGCCCTGCATCATCAGGTTCCCAGATATATGGAGATGGCTCAATCTCTCCAAGGACTGACCCGCTTGGAAGCCCTGATGTTTTCACGAGAAATAATCCTGGTTTTCATGGAGCTCCCAATTCTAGTCCTATTCACCTGAATAGGACTCCTCTTTCTCCACCTTCAGTAATGCTACACGGTTCTCCTGTACAGTCATCCTGTGCAATGGCTGGAAGGACTAATATACCTCTTTCCCCAACCTTGACTACAAAGAGTCCAGTAATGAAAAAACCAATGTGTAATTTTTCGACTAATATGGAAATACCGCGAGCAATGTTCCACCACAAACCACCCCAAGGCCCACCCCCCCCACCTCCACCTTCTTGTGCTCTTCAGAAAAAGCCATTAACATCTGAGAAAGATCCACTTGGCATTCTTGACCCGATTCCTAGTAAACCAGTGAATCAGAACCCTGTTATCATTAATCCAACCAGTTTCCATTCAAATGTCCACTCTCAGGTACCTGTGATGAATGTAAGCATGCCTCCTGCTGTTGTTCCTTTGCCAAGTAATCTCCCTTTGCCAACTGTAAAACCTGGCCACATGAATCATGGGAGTCATGTACAAAGAGTTCAGCATTCAGCTTCAACCTCCCTGTCCCCTTCTCCAGTGACATCCCCAGTGCACATGATGGGGACTGGAATTGGAAGGATTGAGGCATCGCCCCAAAGATCACGCTCATCTTCCACATCATCAGATCATGGAAATTTCATGATGCCACCTGTAGGACCCCAGGCCACTTGTAGTGGTATTAAGGTTCCACCCAGGTCACCAAGGTCAACAATAGGGTCCCCAAGGCCATCAATGCCATCAAGCCCTTCTACCAAGTCCGATGGACATCATCAGTACAAGGATATCCCTAACCCATTAATTGCTGGAATGAGTAATGTACTAAATACCCCAAGCAGTGCAGCTTTTCCTACTGCATCTGCCGGAAGTGGTTCTGTAAAGAGTCAGCCTGGTTTGCTGGGAATGCCTTTAAATCAGATCTTGAACCAGCACAATGCTGCCTCCTTTCCAGCAAGTAGTTTACTCTCAGCAGCAGCCAAAGCACAGCTAGCAAATCAAAACAAACTTGCTGGTAACAACAGTAGCAGCAGTAGCAATTCTGGAGCTGTTGCCGGCAGTGGCAACACTGAAGGACATAGCACTTTAAACACCATGTTCCCTCCTACTGCCAACATGCTTCTCCCAACAGGTGAAGGGCAAAGTGGTCGAGCAGCACTAAGAGATAAGCTGATGTCTCAGCAAAAAGACTCATTACGGAAAAGAAAACAGCCACCTACCACAGTGTTGAGTTTGCTCAGACAGTCTCAAATGGATAGTTCTGCAGTTCCTAAACCTGCACCCGACTTGCTAAGGAAGCAGGGTCAGGGTTCATTTCCCATCAGTTCAATGTCTCAGTTACTACAGTCTATGAGTTGTCAAAGCTCTCACTTGAGTAGCAATAGTACCCCGGGTTGTGGGGGCTCAAATACTGCTTTGCCTTGCTCTGCTAACCAGCTGCATTTTCCAGATCCCAATATGAACTCCAGTGTTCTTCAGAATTCACTGACACAGAACATACCTTTAAGAGGGGAAGCCGTGCACTGCCACAATGCAAACACTAACTTTGTTCACAGTAACAGTCCAGTCCCTAACCACCATCTTGCAGGTTTAATAAATCAGATTCAGGCTAGCGGGAACTGTGGGATGCTCAGTCAGTCGGGCATGGCTTTAGGAAATTCATTACATCCCAATCCACCTCAGTCAAGAATTTCAACGTCCTCCACTCCAGTGATACCAAACAGCATTGTTAGCAGCTATAATCAAACAAGTTCTGAAGCAGGTATGGTTTTATTAGAAAAAAGTACCCAAAGGTACTAAACTTTTCTACGTTTTTTTAAAATTTGTACCAAAATATTTATTATGATGAGAAATGATCCTTTCCCCTTTGTGAAATTCTCTTTGTTTCTTTAGTATTTATAATTTTATTTACTGAATGCTAGGGATTTGTCTTTGGAAAGAATAACAGCTAAGGGAATTCAGCGCTTCCATTATTTGTTGTCAATCTATGTCATTTTGAATATTGTTTGACTTTCAGTTGGTTGTGTATTCATTGGACTCTAGACTGCAAAAGAAGCCATAGAAGGCAGGGTTTCCTGGCTCATGAGACATGACCTTGGTCTATGACAATATTAAAGCCGTTTCCCCTAGCTTTTGTTTGTATTCAGGTAAATGAAGCTCATCTTGGAAAACCCAAAAAAAGCAAAAATAAATGGATATTTTTTCTTGCTGCTGAACAGAAATAGGTAAATGGATAGGAAAAGGTAACTAGAAGTTGTATGAAGTAGAAAACTGTCTTTCTAATGTGTTCTTTTATCCTAGTTTGCTATACTTTATTATTATTTGTCTGAGAAAATTCAAAAATGGTTATTGGCTACTCCTTTTTAAAAAAAAAAGGTAATAATTTAAGTTTTCTAATAAAAAAAGGCTTGTCAACCTGATTTCTAGAATTTTTGATCTTGAAATTGTTTTACAATTTTCTTCTAGAACAAAATCATTATTTTTACCATTGACCTTAAGGATTTGAACCCAAATTTATTGTATCTCTTCACCCAAGACAAATTTATTTTAAAATTAGACACATTAGAGAAAGAACTATGTTTTGTGCAAGAGTCCTCAGAAATTGTTGTCAAAAACTGTACAGAAACATTAAAGAGGTAAATTCATTGAGTTGTAAGAAAGTATGACCTTGAAAACATTAGGAAAAAATACTCAGAACTCAACACTAATGATTCCAGATTTGTGGGAAATGACAGGGAGGAAATAAAAGATGATTGTAGAGATCTTATTATTCATCTATGAAAACAGCAGGCTTTAAAACCCGGATTGCTACTGGAAATGAGAAAACTGCTGAGGCTTCTACTAATAAGCTGTTGTGTAGATTTGTGTAGAGTGTATTATACCATTGTTCTGGGAAAGCATTATAACCTACATGTCTATTACTGATAGTAAAATCAAGAGTTTTCCTTCCTAATGTTGCCAACTTATACCTATACCATCCTTCACAATTTGTGTTACATGTTATGTTTTGATGTTAGTATTTAATGAACTGTTCAGTGACCTCTTTTGTTAAAAAAGAATATAAGGTTTAGAAGATATTTGAAATGCTTAGTGCCTTCTTGATAATTTTAGTTTAAGGAATCTTAAAAAACTTTATTTTTTGTGTGTTTAGCAGGATGCTTATCAGAGGGGCTTCCAAGTTTTCATTGATTCACATTCCTTTTTTTTTTTAATAATTAGACACAAATAAAAATTTAATCTTATGAGTTTCACACATTAAAGTTACAAAACACCCATAACTATTTAAAAATACACCATATTCATTGAGTATATTTTCAATCATCTTGATGAGACATTATTAGTCGCCTTATATTATATAATTATGATACCCTTTACCTCAGTTTATTTCATTGCAGATCTAAGTTCATAGGAGCAAAGTGTATGAATTTTAGTATAATGATATATTTCAATTCATCTATAATGGAAGAGACCAACATTTATTTATATTCTGATTTTCAAGTTTAGACTTATTTCATCTAGTCTTGGTCATTTATTTTCTTGTTCCATGTATCTCTGTAAAACATATGACCTGGATTGCTAGTACTGGAGGTGTCAGAGCACACAGGTTAAAATTTATTAATATTTAAAATGCATTAGCATATAAATAGCTAAAAGGGGCAAGAATAAATGTCTAATAATGATAGGGATGTGACCAATTATGTGTGTGCTAACAGGAAGTGTATACTTAATAAAAATCTAGGTCAGTAAGAATTTTTAAAATATTAAACTTATTAAAATTAAATGCTAATTAACATGCATAGGTCTGATTTGCAGTTGGTTATAAAAATGGACTGATTAACTAATTAATGTTACTCTTTTCATGAAGTAAATATTGAAGAGGTCTCTAATGTCATGTTTCTCTTTGCTATATAGTGAACTGTGTCAATTGAGTGTACTAATTCCCCAGACTAAATATCTATTTACACTGACATTTTTTCATCCATCAAATAATCATTGAGTGCTGGAGGACAGGAATTCAGAATAAAACAGCAGATGACAGTCATGGCTTTCCATATAAGAATTTTACTTGGTATTCTTAGTGTAGCAGTAAGACATTGAAAGAAAAACATGTTTTATTCTTAAAATGTTGCTTATTGCTCTCTTACTTATTATGTGTCAAGGAATTTGCCTACATTATTTGCACTCTGGCAGTTTTCCAGAGCTTAAGGTATTCTTGTCTCCATTACACTGATGAGGAAATTGAGCCTTGGAGAACTTAAATAACTATCTAGGATCATCCATAATTGACTTAGAATCTGAACTCAGGCTCATCTGATTCTGAAATCCATTTTTCTTCCCAGTTGCATTGAGTTCTGCATCTGAAACATTGCTAATTGAAAATCCTGAAACGTATTGCTTTCCCTTTCTAAATCTTTTCAATTGCTCAATAGATAATGAATTAAAGCACATTAATCCATGTTTAAAGTCACATTTGCAAACTTCTGATGTACTTTTATACGAAAGTCAGTTGTTTTGCCTTCCCCCTTTGGACTCTGATTTTATAGCATATAATGATTAGAATGTTTGTTGCAGTACAATTGAAATGTCCAGAATATCAAGAGAACCACTCATTATTTGTGAATTGCATTTGGAAATCTTTCTTTTAAGGAATTATCGCCTCACTCAGATAAGAATGGGTCTCCTGGTAGAAGACATGTCAAAACACTTTTGAAAGAGGTGACTGCAGATTTTGCTAGTCTTGCCAGTCCAAGAATGAGAGATAGGATGGTGAGGGTGAAAAAGACCCACAGGAAACATGGTCCAGCCCTACTCTGGTAATTGTAGACACAACTCAGGCAACTTGCTGCTCAATCCAGTGCCTTTTGATACTCTTAAGCAATAATTCAAAAACACTGCATTAAGACAAGAAATAACCTGCTCTGAAAAGGCTTAATTAGATAATGTATTTTCAAAACTTGTTTTAGAGAGAATTTTTCTATCATATATTAATTTGGGGATGTATATGTGAATTCTGTGGAACACATTGAAAATGTACAACTTAGGTATGGAAATTGGAAGCAGATAAAATCAAAATCAGATAAAAATAAATACTTAGAAAATTTTTCTGAAACTTAAAAATATATAGGGCCCTATTGTTTTTAACATATTTTCATATCGCCTTTCTACTAAAGATTCTAAATACTTTGTCTTGTAAAGTTTATAGGCTTCTGTTAGCTCTTTGAATATCAAGGTGCAAGTAAAATTTAATAGTAACAGATTTAGAATCTGACCAGTAGGATAGTTGATGACATTCCTCAAAGTGTAAACCAAAGCTCTGGTGAATCTGGCAGCCAAACCCCAGAATTCCAGGTTCTCACTCAAAACACTCAAATACAGATATGTTCTGGAACTCCTTCAGTAATTTATATTTCAAGCAACTTTCAGTTTTCAGAAAGTGATAACCTTCAGTGTGTAAGTAGTTCCAGCACATGCCTTGTGGTTTTCTGGTTTAGAGAGGAATACAAAATCAAGTGCCCTTGACTGGCATATTTCAAAAGGCATATGCCTTGTGGGGCATCTGACTACTGCACACCTGCTTACTGTATAGCAAAAACACCTGTGCCAGTAACTAAGTCCAGTACTGAGAACTCAGCCCCATCAATATTCTCAAAACCCATCCATCCCGTGGCCTTGTTTTTCACAGTTTTCAAAGAAAAAAAGATTTAGATTATTCTGCTAACATACTTAATAAAAACCCTACCTCCTTTTAATATGATAATCATTGATTATAATATAGTTTTTTCACTTTAAAATGCTTTTTATAGTCTTTTTTCCTAATGAAAACGTTTAATTAACTCTTCTGAACAAATGAAAATATCATCATATGAGAGGGCAGAGGGTGGGTTTGTGCCAGAAGAGAAAATAATTTAAACATTTATTTGCCTTAACTCTTAAAGATATACATTGACTAACAAGAATATAAATAAACCTACAAATAAATATATGTTCATGAGTATTTATATATAAAACTATTTTTTTAGCTCTACAAGAGAAAGTGTTTTCTTTCAGCACAAAATACCTTTGGTTGAAACTCAGGACAGCCATTGAAATGGTAGGTATAAGACAATGAAATAGTTCACAAAAGAACACTTTTGGTAAAAGACTACAAAGTAATGAATTTAGGAGTTTTTTGTTCTGTGTGTTTGTTTATCCTCAGAATTTGCAAGTAAAGAAAATAAAGGGAGTTGTGCTCTAATTTCAATTTGAGACTACACGTGTGGAAAGGTTACAGGGTGAAATGCTCAATGGTGGATTGTACTATGTAAGTTCTCTCAAAATATGGGGAGATTATATAGAAATAATCTAGTCTTATATACGCTAAAGTAGACTGGGAAAAAAGGCAGAAGTCTGTTGAAGGTTTTGACTGAAAAAATAACAGTTGCTTTTAGAAAAAGTTCCACCCAAAGTTTTAAATGCCTAAATCCTATAGCCTATCTGAAACATAAGATATATAGGTTAAAAGCTGCCCTCTGTTCTTGTTTTCTAACCAAACAACAAAGCTATATTGAATTCAGGACTGTATGATAAAAATCTATGTCTTTTCAAAAATTTTGCAAAATGAGCCATTTCTTCTTTGCTGTAAGATATTTTTACTACAGACAATGTCTTGCTGTTTAAGAAGGTCTTTTAATATCAGGGTTACACCACTTACTTTGTTTACATATTCCAGGGTTAATGTTTCTTTGTGTACAAAAGGAGTTAAGATTGTTTGACTAAAGAAAT